TTGCAACCAGAAAACGATTTGTATTCGTGACATTTATAATGACGAGGAATTTGATTTAAATCATATCAAAGATGGAGTACATCGAGATGAAATACTACATTATAAGCTGAATAAAAGAAAAACATCTGCCCTGAAGATAAGGATAGTGCTGACACATCAACTTCCAGTTCATGGCGCGCCACAACCCCCCCCCCCGTACAGAGTAGCATGAAACTGATAAACAGATTTCGGAATGGTTAGAGAAACAAAGGATATGCCTTTATCCATTTTTTGCAGCAATTCCACATTTTGTTTGATGGACATTGAAACATGCTTTTGCTTTGTAGATACTTTGGCAGTTCCAGAATCAGAAACTCTGTTTGACATAATAGAAAGTTCAAGCTTACTTTTTATAAAATTGCTCTAACAGTCTGCAAAAACTAATAAGGCAGATCCAATTGCAACTTAGCTGTACATATGCACCTGCAATGGAATAGAAGATTAAGGAACAACGCAATATGCAATATTAACTGAAATAGATAATTACATATTTTTAGCCTATCTTATACCGTCCGTTTACATTAAATATGCATGCATAAACATATTATGTGCATGCATAAATGCATTAACGCATGCACAGAAAGTTTGTAGCTTTCAGGTCCGGATTATAGATCATTCCGAATTATGGACGTCCGGATTAAAGACTTTGTACTGTATATTTTGCAGTATCTTAAACATAATTTTAGTAATATGAAATGTGGAATGAAAGAAACAATTTGTCATTAAAATTTCATCTTTCTATTTATAGTATCTTGCATCTATATCGCATACTATACTGAAAAGCAGCAATAATTTTTTTTAATGTTTCAAATTAATATTTTCATATATACAGTGCAAAATAATAAAGTAGCCCAGTTCAATGTGTAGCATCTTTCCAGAAAGTTTTCCATTTCTCCAGATTCTTTTGTGAGTGCGACTGCAGATTTTGATCCCTGCTATAGGAATTTTAGCATAGCAGTGGAGTGCATCCTGCAGTTTTCGCTATTTTTGACAATATCCCTCACTTGAATTTCTGCGCACATATACAGTCAAAAGTCGTTAATCCGGACTCGTTGGGACTTCGGCGATTCCGGATTATAGATCATCAGTTTAAATCTGGTAAGATGGCATGCAGAAATTATAAAATTAAAAATATGAAACCATAATTTATGAAATAAAGAGCAATTATGATCTAAAGGGTATCAAAATTACAAAAAAAAAAAAAAGCTTAATTTTTATTTGTTTACTTTATTAAACATTTCTTTCAATGTAAGTTATTTAAGTTGCTTCGTTTTTTATGCGATAACACATTCCCTTTAATTCTATAGACAGACGTAATTTCTTGTTCAGTTACAAAGTTCCGCTGTTCAAGTGAATTGCTGTGTCGAGAATACCGACTAATTGGTCAATCGAAACTTTTTTGTTTTCAATAACCTCTGTCACTTTCTTTGCTATCGGAAGCGAGTTATAATGACGAGGCATTTGATTTAAATCATATCAAAGACGGAGTACATCGAGATGAAATACTACATTTAGTAAGCAATTATAAGCCAAATAAAATAAAAACATCTGCCCTGAAGATAAGGATAGTGCTGACAGATCAACTTCCAATTCACTGCGCTCCGCGGCATTAAAGATAAACAAAGTTTAGATAAAAAAGCGTTAAAGTTTAGATAAATAAAGGATATGCCTTTATCCATTTTTTGCAGCAATTCCACTTTTTGTTTAATGGACTTCGAAACATACTTTCGCTTTGTAGATCCTTTACATATTAGTAAATATATATCAGAAATTCTATTTGACATAATCGAAAGTTCAAGCTTACTTTTATAAAATTGCTCTAACAGTCTGCAAAAAATAATAAGCCGAATCCAATTCGAAGATTAAGGAACAACGCAATCTGCAACATTAACTGAATTAGATAATTTTAGCTTAGCTTATACCGTCCGTTATACATTAAACGCGCATTCGTAAACGTATTTTGTGAATGCGCACACTACTCCCAGCTGTAAAGGTCTTACGCGCATGCGTCAACACGATGCATGCGCAGAAAGTTTGTAGTTTTGAAGTCCGGATTATGGGTGTCCGAATTAACGACTTTTGACTGTAGTACAATGTGCTTTGCTTAAGGGCTTAGTGGGCCTCTTTTTTCCTTTTCATTTTAGGATTTTGGTGCTGAGGTTGTATGGAATGCCAAATTTGTGCAGTTCTCTGAATCTTTTTAAGCAGAAACTGGTCGCTGTATACATAGGGAGAACAAAAGCACAAAAAACAAGAAGTATGCGAGTCTCATATGGGAAAAGAAGAATAAAAAATAGACAGCACTGGATGCACCACTGAAATAAACATAAGCATCTGTAACCAAACATTTCTCTATTTTGGCATTGAGTTCACACTTTTTGGCAGGGATGTGGATAGTCTGGAACTACCAAGCAAACTTATATGCTTTAATAATAAACTTAAAATAGTTTCATTATCTTATTTTAGCCCTTTGCAATAATATATGTACTCTCAACCACCAAAGCATTTTTATTGTTCCTGTTATATGTCTGTTCATAGCCACCAGAGCAAAGAATCATATTGATCTCATATTCTATTAATTATATTATGTAGGAAGCTTCATATCATGCATATTATGTATTACTGTTCATTCAATGAAAATTAATTCCGAGCATAAATCATTTATAACTTACAATGTATGTAACTATGTGAAAATAAAAATTCTTCTGTATTTTATTTTATGTAATTTATTTGAATTTAATTGGCTGTAGTTCGTTATGGTTACAGCAAGATATATAAGAACTATTCTTCCTAGAAAGGTTGTTTTTAAAGAGGACTTCCTAAGAGATATTACCTGACATATTCTATTATCAAAGCTTGAATGCTATGTTGTAAGGATCTTAACTTTTACTAATGTTTATTTTATTTTAAATCTTTACTATCACTTCTTATTTTCTACTTCCGGCCAGAATTAAAAGCTTTAACTTATTTATGCAAATTTGTCTGGCGAACGCCAAGTACTTAAGTTGTGGCTTTTTGCCAAGCAAGAGAGAGGAAGGAGTTAGTCGAAGCAGGCCGCTTGCCTTAGCAGTTTTACTCGGTTGCTGGTTGCCTTCCAGGCCAGAGGTTTAATCCTCTTAATAATTTTAAACGTATTGTAGTGTTAAACAGTTCTCTGTACTACATACGGCTTCCTGTTAATATACGGCCAATCTTCCACGTAGGCCCTTGTTTATTATTCCAAAGTTAAGTTAGAGTTTAGTTAATATTTTTATATTCTTACGTTCAGACCACAAGTAGTTGGTCTCTGTATTCCGAAGTACGGAAATTATTGTAAAGAGTGAAAAAAATAAAGGGTTTCGTATACCCTTCCTGTGCATCTTGTCTACTTCCCACATTTATTGAACATAGCTTTAGTAAGCTCCCTGTTTCCGAGCCAGGTTCTTGAATGTTCCCAAAGCAAGTAAGGCGGAACACTGAACCTGATAATGTATGTCAGCCAAACCAACAATATACATATATTAAAGGGTGTAACAGAACTGATGGTCACAGTTTTAAGGATGCTGGTGGTATGAGAGAGCAAAAGCACATGAAAATGAGAAGTCGCAGATATTTACAAGAAATAGTTTCCTATATTTAAAAGACTTGTTTTAATGGATGACCAGCAGCTGCAATATATACATCACAAGGACAGTGGATCTCATTTACGAGATGCAAATCGACTTTGTTGTTATTAAAATTAGCATTGCTGCTGCTTAAGTATGTGACATGCTATCATCGTGGTGCATGTATTGCTGATAATGATAGTCCATTTGAACAATTCTTTGAATATAAAATATTTTTTTAATTAAACATCCATCATTAAAGCAACATTTTGTTCTCCACATTCTTTGTACTTATTATGTTTCTACAACACTATATATACTGAGGGTAGGCTAAAAATCACTATTCGTTGAATGTTGAGTTCATGTTATAAGTTACCTAATATCATCTAGATGTTTTGCAGTATAGTCTAGTATTTTTCGTTTGTATTAGCTGATAAAAATAGAAAATGAGGCATACTACTCATATAAAAAAGGATAGTTATTCAACTAATACCAGTATAATTAACAATAATATTAATTTCTGATTGTCAAGTTGCTTTTCCTGAAAAAAAAAAAAAACATATTATGTATGATGCATTTTACAAAGTTACTGCAAAACTCAAACTACTATTTTTAATTCAGTCACTGAAAAAAATTTTATTAATAGGACTTTTTTTTTTTTCTGATTTTCATCTGCATTTTAGTTACAGTAGTATATTCAGTTTTTGCATTGCATTAAAAAGGCATTTTTTTAACAGTCATATTTATTTTCTGTTCTTGAAATTTATATTATATTTTAAAGTTGTGATACTAAAACTAGTTTCATCATTTTGCAAAAGACTTGTATTCATACATGTGCTTATTACTTTGCAGTTGGAATACCAATTGTGTAATTTACAATTTGTTCATTGTTTATTGTACAAGATGTTCAGTTTAAAAGTGGACCCTTTTCCATGAATTTACAGATTCATATTAGAAGTGTAATGTATTAAGTTACATTAAAGTCTGTCCGAAACTGGTTCATATATAAGATATTATTATAAACGCAGCAATTATGTTCCTAGCATTTCTTTAAATTGAATAGTACAGCTATTAATAGTGTTTTCCTTTTTTTTTTTTAGTTTTTAGTTTTTTTTAGTTTCTGACGTCCTGCGTAGATTTGTGCTTGTTAGATTAAAAATAATATTATGAAGTAACAGCTTGCAGTAGATCAATTTGATGCATCTTCTAACATTTAGGATAAAAATTATTTCTATTTTTTCATGCTGTGAGGCTGAAACTTTTAATTTATTAAATTGTTATCCACATATTATTGTATATTTTATGAATACAGATTTTCTCTTTGTGTGTGAGGCTACAAAATTAGTTCTGAAATAATTATTTTTTACTTTATTCTAGAATTAAAAGAAAAGGAAGATGAATTTTTAAGTACAGCATTATTGGAAAAAGAAAAACTGAATACTCGCATTGAACATTTAAAAAATGAAGTAAGTTTTGCTGAAACTTTTTATCATGTCTTATTAATCATTTAGCAAAATTATATTAACAAATTTTATTCACTTATTAAATATGGCTATAGTTTTGATGATGCTGTATAAAATTTAAAATGCTGATTAAAAGGTAAGATCATGCATATGTGCATAGAGGTGGCTGAACTACTTATCATTAGAGGCCACATATTAAAATTGAGGAATATTGAAAGCAGCAGATAGAAGATTTTTTGAAAAGCCCCAAGAAGATATTTACATCACTACTTTAGCAGTAAATAGAAAGAAATTTTAAGGGCTTTCTCATTTTTTAAAGTAATATGATTATTTACAAACATAAATAAATAATTTTGTTGCCTTTGCTTCTCTCTTCTTAGAAAAATATGTTATATTGTGATATATGTGAGGCTGACGTCTTATCATCAAACAGAGATCACACTCACGATTCAAAGTATCAGGTTTAAAGGAACAGATAATTTATTTACGGCTAGAACAATGATTTCTAACCTTGGTGAATTGCTATTTAAAGATAATCCTACTCTAGCGATATCTGCCTCTTTTTTTTTCGTCAAAACAGGAGCTAAGTATTATTTTACCGTCCAGCGGTGTCTTTATTTGAATGAATGATGAATTTATGACTGGAACTTCAGCGCCTGAATCAATAAGTGCTTTTATTTTTTTATTTTCTACGAAAATATCAGCATATTGCAACTCATGAATAAAACTGACGTTATTAATACTTGTTTTGTTTTTTCTTTCTGTTTCCCTATGGGATTCGCTTTGTTTACGTTTTACGCAATCCCTAGCGAAATGAAAATTTTCACCCCTTCCCTCGCAGATGTAACATGATCTCTCTGCCGTCCACGAAATGGCATCCTGTTTACTTTTAGGTTTGCTACTTCGGAGTGAGTCATTCTTAATACTTTGGTTTCGAACACTTGGTACTTTCGATTCATTAGACTGAACTTTAGACAATGACAATGATTTTCCTCCGGATGAAAAATATAAATCACATTCTCGCCCTAACTGTGTTGGATTAAACCATGTTCTGCCCTCGCGAACACCTATGTATTCTTTCGTTTTGAAATCCAAAGTTTCATACAATTTATCTGCAGAAATTAAATCAAATAAGTTTTTAAAATCCTTTTGTGTCTCCCTAACCTTACAGTAGTATTCAAATGCTGCGGTCAATCGCGATGCAAATTGAACATGTGACTCGTTTGCTGCGCATTGAGCATGTTTAAAGGTGTTCAGAATCTCTCTTGGTGTCGGCTGAAATTCAGCTAAAAACAACTCTTTTAGTTTTTCGTAATTCGACAATTCGTCTTTAGTTGCATACGTTAAAACATCATTCGCTTTAATCCCTAGCAAATTAATTAGTATCTCAGCTTGTAAGTCTTTGGGAACTTCTTTGGTGGCAAAAGCTTTTTCCAATGAAATGAAAAACAAATGCAATGATTCTGGCCGCTCAGGAACAGAGATTGTAAGCGTTTTTACGCTTTTCAGTAAATTTTCAACACTAGTCTGTGCGTTTCTTCTATCACCTGATAATGATTGTGATTTTAAATTTTCTAGCTCAATTTGGGCTAATTTAAGACGTTCGATTTCTAACAGATAGTGTCCATTACTTGTCTTAGGCGTCTAATCCTCGACGATCGATTTGACGACGCCACGAACAAATTGTGTTCGTTTTGAAGACATCAGAATTTTCTATAATTTTTCTAATGTCAGCTTTTTTAGCATTTTCTGGAACATTCTCTCCAATTCTTTCGGCAATTAATTTTAAATCACTCTTGTTTGAATTATTTAAGAAACTCATTTTAAAACGAAACACAAGTATCATTATCTTAAAGAAAGAAAAGTTTTCACAGTACCTTTTTTGAAGTTCGCCGGCTTGGAGCCCCCATAGTTGTAAGGGTGACGTCTTATCATCAAACAGAGATCACACTCACGATTCAAAGTATCAGGTTTTATTCCTGAGTTATAGAAGAAAAGATAAATGGAATGAGTATGTACAAATGGATTAAATATATTTAGGAGAGTAATCACACTGGTTCCACTATGGAGATGTAAAAGTCGCAGCTGACCACCTATGTGCGGAAGTTTTTTAGATAAGTTCCAAGTCCGATCGCCTACGCGCGACCAGTAAGCGTCTAGTTGTAGCTCCTTCGCGAGCGTTCTGTTAGACTGCCTCTGTCAGACTTCTCGAACCAACTCAAGATGTGTCTCTTGGAGAGTTCCTACAGAATAGAGGTAGATAGCGACATCTGGTGCTTCGTTGAGGCACGATTCGCACATACTATATGAACTGTAACTTTTTGTGAGATGTACTGAACACTCTGTAAGACTGAAAATAATAGTAGTTTCCAAATTTTTTCTTTGACTATAATTGGTAAATCATTTTAAAATTTGTAAATTAAAAATGAAATAAAGTGTTGTAGTTTTTATAATAATATAAAAGTCTTTTCATTTAAGTGAAGAATAATGCAGTAATTTGAAAAATAATTAAATTTAACCCATAATCATTTTGATCAGAAGATTAATATTAGATTAGATTAGATTTTTTGTTTTGATTAGAATATCTAATTATATAATTGTATAATTAGGTATTCTTCATTTTCCTTGCATATTCATAATGCTGTTCAGTAAGATTTGAGCTACATTATCAACACAGTATATCCCTTTTTATTTTTTTTTTCTGTCATAGTAACTGACTTATGTTCTTTAAAAATATCCATTGCTGTACAAATAATAAAGTATAAAAATAGTACTGTTTGCTTTTTGATAACTATTGCTAGGCACACAGTTTGAATTTTTATAAATTATCATTAAATATTCTATAATTAAAAAAACATTAAAAATGTGTACCATAATTGTAGTTTCACATAATATTCATACTTCAGAAATAAAACTATTTTTTACAACATGGGGTGCATTTAACTGAGCAAAGAACTATATTTTGCCAATGCATGATGTTAAATTTCATGCAGTTGTGCCAGTAATAATTATTATATTTATAAATCTCATATTCATAATTAAGCAGAATTTGTAGTTGTGTTGAAATCTATAAAGTAAATTGTGAATTATGAAATAAATTATTCCGATATGCACACCCACATTTTTCTCAGATTCATTCGTTGTCGTAGGTTTTTTTTTTTTTTTTTTTTTTTTTTTTTTAAACCTGCCTTCTTAACTTTTTTTAACCTGCCATGGACAATAGATTTTACAATAGTTCCTATGAATCATTTGTCTATTTAAAAATTGCAGTCCTAGAAAAATTTGGAGCTCTCAAATGCAATGCCTTACCACCTATAATATATAAGTATAGTAGAACTCTAATTATTTAAATTCCAGATAATTCATCTCTCCAATAAATCGGGTGCATTTCGTAGTGGCGTTCTACTAATCAGCATGATTTAGTTCAAAATTTTTATATTGTAAATATTAGGAATTCAAATTGTATTCAATGAAAGAAAAATAAATTATGAAGAAAATGTATTAGATATATAGTTATGTTGATGTAAATGAAACAAGATATGAAATTTTAAATGATGCTGAATATCCACCCTGTTTCTGCTTGTTATTCAGACATTCAGCATGGAAAAAAAAAATCGAAAACCATGAAAAACATCCAGGTCCATGAAATTAATGTGGTTTTTAAATAGTTTGTGTGTATTTAAAAACAACCGTGAAGTATTTGAAGCAGCAAGAAGATTTCTTAATATCTAATTTAAATTTAATCTAAGTTTCTTAATATCTAATTTAAAAAGAATTATTATTATGACCACATTAAAAAATATCTTTTTTGAAAAAATAACCAAAAAAAAAAAAAAAAGATTTAAAAATTATTCATTGATTGTCAAATATGCATTAAGCATTAATACTGTAAAAACCAGGTAAATTTTTCAAAATTGCTAACCCAGACTTTTAAAATTAGATGGTTAGGAAACAATTTTTTAAAAAAAATTTATGGTGAGAAGAAAAATAATATTTTTTTTAATTATTAAATTTATTGCTTATTTGTAATATTTTTATTATTACTACTAGTTATTATTCTATTAGGTTTATTATTATTATATTATATTCTTTATTTACTTGTTATTAATTTAAAAATATTGAATTAATGGTACTTTTCTGTTATGCGCCTATCATGCATTTCGGCGCAACTGTTGTAATAATATGTATGTGTTTAATTCTTATTTACACACACCATGCAGTTCCCAGATGTTGCTATCATTGGCTATCGGCCTATGTTTGGCTTCTCTTCCACAGAGGTCAAAAAGAGTGGAAGATGCATAATGGAAAAGTATGAAATTAATTAGTTTTAAAATTAATAAACTACTTCATCTGCTTTTGCTTTGTAAGAAAAATTCAATGGTAAAAAAATTATAATTATTTCAGTTAAGCAAAAGGTTTACAGCAAGACAAAAATTATGAATTTCACCTCAGTAATTTTTTAATTATTTTTTTAAGTTACCCCTCTTTTTTTTTTTTTTTTTTTTTTTAAGAGGAAGAGGAAGAAAACACAAATTTTAGTGGGGGAAGAAAGTGGTAAAGCATTTGAGTTAATTTTGAGTAAAACTGAGGAAACAAAAAATTAAAAATGAGATATTGATCTGTCAGTAGTTAAAAGGGAGAAAAAGGAAGTGTCCTCATTCTACATACCATTAATTTATGAAGAACCTTATTAATGTAGCTGAAGAAGTTTTACTGAACTATATTACACAGAGTTGGCCAGAAATAAAACGTAAATGAAATGCTCAACAGATTTAGCATAATTTTATCAGATGGATCTTCTAAAATATGCATATATTCTATGTGAAAATAATTTTGAAAAGACAAAATATATAATGTATTTTTCCTGCAATGTTTAGAATTGATTATGTTTGCTGCAACTTTTTTTAAAATAAATATTATAAAGCAATGTGATAAATTAACCTTGAATAGAGAGAGATATGCTCATTGGGGTTTTGTACGCTCATTGCAGAGCTGTCTATTGA